ATTGTGTATTGAGTATGTAAAGCATAGTGGTCCGACATTTAATAGAGCTATAAAGCAAATTCTTTATATTTCAACGAACATAGAGAAAACAAATGGAGCATGATTTTAGGAGGGGACTGCACGGTCTGAATCAGAAAAAAATGAGTTCTACAGCCCCATACACCAAGTGACTGAACCGTAAAAGAAATATGGAAGTTGCTAATAGCAGTTACGGCAGCAATAAAAACATGATAAAAGGCTCTTTGACGGTAAGAAACCTTGGAAGCTGGGGCAAATACAAAATCTGTTTTGTAGGGACTGGCAGTATCCTGCTGTCTTTAGTAGGGGTTTCTGACGACGTCTAGTTCATCTCCTTAAGTTGAAGTGATCTATCAAAATGCCTTGGTTCTGGGCTTCTCTGGCGGCGCAGTGGTTGAGAATCTGCCTGCTAATGCAGGGGACGCGGGTTCGAGCCCTGGTCTGGGAAGATCGCACATGCCGCAGAACGGCTGGGCCCGTGAGCCACAACTACTGAGCCTGCACGTCTGCAGCCTGTGCTCCGCAACAAGAGAGGCCGCGATGGTGAGAAACCCGCGCACCGCGATGAAGAGTGGCCCCCCACCTCCTCCGCTTGCCACAACTAGAGGAAGCCCTCGCACAGAAATGAAGATCCAACACAGCCAAAACAACAAAACAAAACAAAAAACCAAGCATTTTGAAGCCCTTAAAAAAAAAAATGCCTTTGTTCTGAAGAGCAGTCAAAATCATTTGAACTTTAAAAACATATTAAAAAAAAAAAAACCTACAGTAGTATTGGCAGAGCACTTACTCCTTGATCCAGTCAAAATGGCAGAATATGCTGTAGTGCAGCATCGTTTTGTACTTGGATACATGTTTTTGAAGTTATCAGCCCATATAAGCTTACTCAAAGTCTTGTTTGTTCATTTTAAATACAATAATCCTAGCCACTGATTTTGATGACATTTTAAACTTTCTTTTTACAAGATGAAAATGCTCAGAGAAAAATTTTAGATACTGATGATTCTCTCAGTATTTGCTCAAATTAAGGAGCCCGTAAGATAATATTTAATAAAATCCTAACCCTGATCACCTTTCTGAGCTCTTATCACTGTATTAGACACCCGCCACTCCTCTTCACCCCCTCCCACCATGCCAAAGCATTACGGCTTTGAAACGACTCTTATTGGGTTACATAATTTTTGACCAGTTTCTGTATTTCTTCTTGGAATCCTTCAGTGAAATGGAACTAAAAGAAGAAATTTCAGATGCAGAACAGCATTATTTTTTCCCCATAAACATTACCAGAACTATTTCCATCTCAAGAATCAATGCATTTTCTTTTAAACATCTTTATTGGGGTATAATTGCTTTACAATGTTGTGTTAGTTTCTGCTGTATAACAAAGTGAATCAGCTATATGTATACACTTATCCACATATCCCCTCCCTCTTGCATCTCCCTCCCAGTCCCACCCCTCTAGGTGGTCACAAAGCACCGAGCTGATCTCCCTGTGCTATGGGGCTGCTTCCCACTAGCTATCCATTTTACATTTGGTAGTGTATATATGTCCATGCCACTCTCTCACTTCATCCCAGCTTACCCTTCCCCCTCCCCGTGTCCTCAAGTCCATTCTCTACATCTGCATCTTTATTCCTGTCCTGCCCCTAGATTCATCAGAACCATTATATTTTTTTAGATTCCATATATATGTGTTAGCATACAGTATTTGTTTTTCTCTTTCTGACTTACTTCACTCTGTATGACAGACTCTAGGTCCATCCACCTCACTGCAAATAACTCAATTTCGTTTCTTTTTATGGCTGAGTAATATTGCATTGTATATATGTGTCACATCTTCTTTATCCATTCATCTGTGGATGGACACTTAAGCTGCTTCCATGTCCTGGCTATTGTAAATAGAGCTGCAATGAACATTGTGGTACATGACTCTTTTTGAATTATGATTTTCTCAGGGTATATGCCCAGTAGTGGCCTTCTCAAACTCTTCCAAAATATAGCAGAGGGAGGAACACTCCCAAACTCATTCTACGAGGCCACCATCACCCTGATACCAAAACCAGACAAAGATGTCACAAAGAAAGAAAACCATAGGCCAATATCACTGATGAACATAGATGCAAAAATCCTCAACAAAATACTAGCAAAGAGAATCCAACAGCACATTAAAAGGATCATACACCATGATCAAGTGGGGTTTATCCCAGGAATGCAAGGATTCTTCAATATATGCAAAATCAATCAACGTGATACACCATATTAACAAATTGAAGGATAAAAACCATATGATAATCTCAATAGTTGCAGAAAAATCTTTCGACAGAATTCAACACCCATTTATGATAAAAACTCCCCAGAAAGTAGGCATAGAGGGAACCTACCTCAACGTAATTAAGGCCATATATGATAAACCCACAGCCAACATCATTCTCAATGGTGAAAAACTGAAAGCATTTCCTCTAAGATCAGGAACAAGACAAGGTAGCCCACTCTCACCACTGATATTCAACATAGTTTTGGAAGTTTTAGCCACAGCAATCAGAGAAGAAAAGGAAATAAAAGGAATCCAAATCGGAAAAGAAGCAGTAAAGCTGTCACTGTTTGCAGATGACACGAAACTATACATAGAGGATCCTAAAGAATCAGTGATTTTTTTTTTCCAATGCCTTCTGGGACTCGTTCTGTAGCAAAGACTGCAGAACAGAGGGAACTACATAAAGAAGATTAAATGATCCAAGTATAAAGCTGATGGTGAACCTTCTTTTTCATATGTCCCTATGGGATCTTCTTTGCCTATTTGGATGGCTGGCAAATAGTGTACTGTGCCTTTAAATGCATGCGTGTGTGTGTGTGTGCGCACACACACAATGTCAACAGGGATGCTTGGAAATGCTTATGCAGTTATTCTTGACTTTTAATATTATAAATGTTTTCTTTAGTTTAGTTTAGATTGGATACTAATCAATTTTTACCAAAAATAATTCACTTCCTTTAACCTTTACATCGAAAGATATGTGAAAATGCATACTCTATTTTTTCTCATTCAAATTATGAACTTGTTAAGCACACACACATACACGTGCACAAACACACACACACTTATTTCCCCAAGGTAAATAAAATGTAGTTTATTCAATTAAGGAGTAACTAAAATGATTAGTAGCATTTCAGTGTCTTATAAACAAAACTCATCACTGCACTGTGTTCAAAAGCTTTGGTCATTGTACAGCAGGGAGTTCATTTGATCAAAATTTAGAGAATATCAGGGTTGGAAGGAAGCATATTTTATCTTATTGAACCACACCTTAGTAGTTGAATCCATGGGATGATATCTCTGCCAAGGGATCGCTGACTATATGGTGTATACCTCCAGTAAAAAGGAAAAAAAATATACTCTCTAAACACAGACTATTAATAGTAAGACATTTATTGTATTATTAAATTGTTTCTAAAATCCATTATTATTGCAATGGTGAAGAGGTAAATGCAAAGCTAACCTCAGTCAGAAGTGTATTACAGTTAGGTTGACAGGAAATTACAAGAAACATCCACTGACTATAAATCTGTTACAGAATATGGAGAAGCTACATGAACTGGCAACATTTTATATATCATTAAAAAACCATTGAAAACCTAAAAACCTAAAAATGATGCTTGCATATAGCTGCAGATACTAGAAAATCTTTCATTTTAAAAGTTAATTCTGTACCATTCTTTTAAAAAATTTATCATCGTCATATGCAGGTATGTATTGTTTATATCAAGTGATTTTCGTGCCTAGATATAATTTAAGACCGTTAAATATAAATTCATATTTCCTTTCATATAAAAATATATATAAAAATAGAGTATTTAAAGGAGGTGGAAATTCACACTAAGGAACTGATCAATCAAAATAGTTTTATGTTTTTGTATAGTAATGAAATTGAGGTATTCGTACATTTGGCAATTTCAGCTAAATACTGAATTAACCCTCTCAGCCCTTTTTTCCCCAAAAGGAAAATAATCCTTTAAGAGCCATTGTAACTGTGAGATGTTATCTCACAACAAGGCGTTTGTACAATAAAAAATTTTACTGTCTTAAACTTGAAGTATAGAAGAGAAAGTTCTCAGTACTAGGATTAGATATGTTTTACATGTATGCCACGGTTTTATAAAAAAATAATTCTATGTCTTTTCGAAATCTGGATTAGATACCGTTGCTCAGGAAAATCAAAATACAGTTACTAGTAACAGAGTAGTATTCGTGGACACATACAAATGCTTTCTGGAAATAAATGCCTATGCACTTGAGAATGCTTAATCCTTTGCAAAATATTTACATAAAATATAATTGCAATCTTAAATTATATAGAGCTCTAACAGCAAACAAAAGCTTTCTTAAGTAATATCATCAATGAAACATAATGAAGTAACCCATGAAGAACTATATTTTCTCACTTTAAAATTACATATTTAATCAACTTAGACTGCAGTTACCCATCCAAGTTCACAGACAGGCTAGGAGGGAATGTTTATGAAAACTACAAAGAATGCAAAAAATATATTGGTGTTTTAACTGTAAAATATTACACTTCCTATCGCTTTCATAGAATATCTTAGAATTCCCTGGAGGAGCATTTCTATTCTTTTCCTTTCAGTTATAGTATGTTAAAAATCTAGGAAGAAGCGGTTTTCATAAGCAATGGATTCACAAAGCCTAAAGCCTCATCAAAGCCATGTTTTCTCCTGGTAAAGGGCACAAGCGTAATCCCCACTTGCAGGTGTAATGTAATTCCTTTTTCCCCTTTCCAATACTCAGGTAACGATAAAGATGATAAGGCAATACTCAAGAGCATTATCTTTTCCCCCCATGTTTCAAATGTCTATATTTCTCTTTATTATCACAATGCAATACCCAGGCCACAGTGGATCTAGTTTATGATTAAGGTCACCATTTTCTAGTTCTGTCTTTCATCTTGAAACCAGCTGATTTCCACATGCACATCCTAACTTTATAAAGCTGTAGAAAAAGAAAGTGTTATGACTTTTTTAGCTACGTGTGCATTGGTGTGTTTGTGTGTGCCGGTGTGCCTCAGCATGGGTGGCGGAACCAAAATACACATAATGCACAGGATTTGGCTGCTAAACCATCGTCCGGGTGAGTGACTTGAATCCTATTCCAAGTTCAGCCCTTCCGCAGAGTCTGCACAGTTCTTTCACTGGCACACATCCTGCTGAGAAGGATTTCAGAGCAAACCTGATTAACTGGACCTCTGACGTGATACGGTGATTGTACATTTGTTACAGAGTCTTGTTGTCGTCGTTGTACTTTGCTTTGATTGCTGAAATATTTTCCCACAATATGATTTCTTGATCGTTTCATTTTAAGAAAGTGATATTCTTTGGATAATTTTGATTTCACTACCTGCAAATAAAGAGCAAAAAAAAAAAATAGTGAGGTAAAATCAAGGACATTTGAGACCTGCAAAGAGCAGGATAATTAACTCACAAACTTGAAAAAAACATCTCTAGCACATAGATGTTACAGATGTTGCCCAAAGGACATGAATATGATTGACATGACCAAGAACCAATGTAACTTATCTTTCAAAAAGGATCAAGGTTGAAATTAGAATTTCGGCCCCTTTTCTTACCTCAGGGCAGCTGTCTTTAATGCAACTAAGGAGTAGCCTCAGGTAGTGTCTCTGCCACACTGTGTGTGTGTGTGTGTGTGTGTGTGTATGTGTGTGTGTGTTTAGGCCAGATGCTAACATACAGAGGACACTAACATGCCTTTGCTGAGTCACTGATTCAAACATGGTACTCTAAGCCTGTCATGGCATCATTTTATAGAATGATAGCTACAACTATTTTCAGAGAAAAGAGAAAATAGTTTTGCATTGCACACTCATAAGCTGACGCTGTTACAGTTAGTAGTTACATTTCTCTGGGCACTTAGGAAGTCACGGAATCTGAAGGCGCAGCCTATGCACTATTAAGCTAATAACTTTATAAATGTTTGTGCATATGTATAGTTTTACCTTAAAATTGTTTTGAATAGGCAGTATAAGCATTTATAAAGCATAAAAGAGTATATAATAAAAAGTTTCCTTCCCATCTCTTCTCCTCACTTTCAGTCACTCAACAGCCTCCCCAGAAGCAACATATATTATAGTTTCTTCGGGATTCTCTTCATGGACATATTATGAATATTAACACACACACATGAAAACAAAGAGGCCATATTTATTGTCTATTTGTACAGTATGTAAAACTTTGCTCTGGTGAAATCCTATAATTGTCAGCTTTAATCACTGGGCTAATATATCTCAGGGAGTTAGCCACAAAAGTCAGAGAAAATGAGGTGGGGACCCAGAGAGCCTGGGGGAGGGGAAGGTTGAGAAGTAGGGAAAAGAGAAAATACTGGCAAAAATTTTTTGGGTGTGTTTACAGATTAATAGCAAATTTTTACTTTCATCAAATTAATGCAACTGTAAGACATTTTCAGTCACTATGGACACATTATTTATTACTGATGACTAATGAAAGCAACACTAGCACATATGGATTTTTAAAATTCTTTTGAGGGCTACGTAATGATTTAGGTACATATTTTTTGATCCCATATAAAAGAATGCAATGAAAACAGTTCCATGCCATCTATTTCGAAGGTAGGTAGTTTTAGTTATGTTGTAAGTTAGAGGGAACCATTTTAGAAGAGTTGTTTGAATAGAAATTCTGTAACAGTCTACTCCGAAAGGTTAAGAGCAGTGATCTTTAGGTGGACGAATTACAGGCAATTTAAAATGTATTCTCTGTAAATTTTTGGTCTTGACTTTTTAATTTTACTGCAATGAATGTGCATTACTTTGTAATCGTAAAAACATTGAAGCTATTCCCATTTTGAAGAAAAATATAACAGGAATGCCTTTTAAAGACAATATACCCTGCTAACCCCAAATAAATGAATTGTTTTTTTGTAACTATGGGAGGTTTGGCTTTTCATGATCAGGCCCTCAGATGAAGTAACTCTTAAGAAGTTCAGTGAAATCAGCGGGTTGTGGTGAGGAATCCCTATGGATCGTAATTTACAGCTCAGTCTGCAGTTAACCACTGATTAATATTCCAGGTCCCAACGTTGTAAGTTTCTATTATGCGCTGCTCCTTCTACGTCTGTTTGGTTGTACAATAACTTTAAATATGATAGGCTGGGGAGGTGCACCAATGTTTTCCTGAAGGTTTTGTCCATTTTGGAGGAGGTCTGTATTCACCTATAGCAAGATAAGTGAACATTCTTAAGGAAGTTTACTTAAGGAAACACTGAAGCATAAATATTACAGTCAACCCTGAAAAAGTATTATTCCAATGTTCTGAAGCCAAAATAAGGTTAATTTTGTTTATATAACGTTATCTTAAGTTCTGGTTTTTTCAATTGCCTGATGATCTGCATGCTAATTACATGAAAAATATAAAAAGGCTCATCCCAATGCAAAAAGGTCATATTCCTTAAAAATTTTAATGTTTTCTGTGATTTCAGGGTTGCATTTAATGTTGCATTATCAGTGTTGGATAATGCTAGTTTAAATGCTTACAGCAATCTTGAAAGTGATTCATAAAAGGGATATACAAAAAAATACCTATTTCCAGTGTATTTGCTGAAGCATGTAGCTTCCACTTGGGAGTATTGTCAGTATTTTGCCAGATCACAGTGGGAAGGTTGATGATATACTTCTATTTTTAAATCACTAAGATGATCTCTGAGAAAGGAAGATGGAATGATGGTGTCTCCGCCAGCTTCTGAGGACCAGCCTAATGCCTCCTACAGGGAAAACTTCTATTATGCTATATGAGATTGACCCCTACACAGCCATGCCAGAGATTGGCCCAACAATACCTAAGTCAGTTGGTTTCCTTTGAAAACTATTTTTCAGGAAATAATCAAAGATAATGAGTTTCCCAATTCTTTTGTTAAGCCAGTATCACCCTGATGAATCCTAAAAGCTAACAAACCTACAGAGAAAGAATGATTTCAATTTTGATTTGTCAAAACACAGACATAAAAAATCCTCCCAAAATGTTATTGTAAATGGAATCTAGGAGCATGTAAAAAATTTAGCAGTATTATGGGCTGTATTACTAGCACATACAATTTATTTCAGGAATGTTAAGCTTCAATATTATGAAATATTTTGTCATAGGAAATTACCAAAGAATTATTTGTAGCTATATGATTGTTTGCCCTGAAAACTCAAAGAAATCTACAGTAAAATAAGGAGATATTTTAAAGTTAATATTTAAAAATTAGATAGCTTTCTATATTATATCAATAATAAGAAATATATTAGAGAAAAGATTTCATTACAATATTAAAACAACTTCACCAAGTTCAATGATAACCTATAGGACACAGGTGAAGAATGTGTCAAAAATTTAATGAGTCATAAAAGAAAACATGAATAAATGGAAAGACATAACATGTCAAATCGTCCCAAGTTAATTAAAGAGCTATTCCAATTTTAATCACAGCAGGATTTGGGGGTATGTGACAAAGGAATTCTAAAACAGATCTTAAAGAATAATGTAGGAAAATAGCCAAGACCATTTGGAAAGAAAAAAAAAGCAGTGATGAGAGGATACTTTCAATACCAGATATTCATTCATCAACAGGACTTGAGTCTACCATCAACCTACCATGGACTCAATTTGTTGGCTGTATAAGCAGAATTCAATACTGAGATAGAAAAAACAGAAATTTTCACACTGCAGGTTAAAATGTATTTTACAAACTGCCCGTTCCCTAAAAATTTTCATGGAGAAATAAGGTAGTTCTAAATAGCACCCAAGGTCATATAAATCCAGTGACCATAAATGTTGACAGCCTAACAGTTTTAATTACACGGGATTAAAATCAAGAGTGTGTGTTTAAAATGGAGCTAAGTGCCGAACTGCTAATAGGGTCTCCAATGAAGAAGGGAGTGAAAATTGAGGATGTGTGTGTAGTGTAAAAACAAAAGTATTTTTGTTTTTATTGTATATATTATTTAAAAATGTTTAGCATTAGCAAGAATTCATGTAATCCTTTTATAATCGAAAAGCAGTAGAAGAGAAACAAAGTGATTCTGTATCTTACAAAATTAAAATTTATGATTTATTTTTGCCATATAATATCCATCTTTCAATCTTCAGAGCTCTCTGTGTTAGGAAACACATGGAGTAATTCAGATATGGTCCCTATCCTCAAGGGGACTATATAAAGACACATGTCTAAGACACTTGAAGTAAGAACAAGAATGAAATGACTTCAAAGTCATTGTCTGAGACTAGATCCCCAAGGTCAGGCACCATGTTGTTTCTGTGTAATGAATGGTTCCTTAGTAAGTACATTAAGGAGACAGTGCTAATTTATGGTGGCCATGATAACTTGTTCACACAGCTATTATTTCTTTGAACTTATTTGTAAAATTTGGTGTCCGATATTGGCGTCAAACTGCTATCTCTGAGTTTCAAAATATTACTGTATTTTACCTACCCTTATTGACTCTATAGTGGAGGAAGAGAAATTAGCTACATTTTTAAGTCTTGGAAGTGTTATGCAAATGAAGGATGTTTGATACCTGTACAGTAAAGAGCGAACTGTTTCTTTTCTTTGATCTCATGTGTAGAAATGTGCCCATGGGAGTCCTTCCAAAATCAGAGGACCATTTGGGGTTACTAAATTCCAACTACAGTGGCGGCGACTGGAATGTGGCTTTGAAAGAGAGGTGTTAGCAATACAAATGTTAGGTTTATCTCTGGGGCATAGTAATAGTAAACAACAAAAATGAGCTATTAGAAAGCAATGGTGAAAGATTTAGGTCTTGAACCAGAAACAAAGGACTCTAGATGTTTTTGTACGGTGGTCACCTCAATCAGAGACAAATACTAACGTCTTGATGCTTCCAAAAGCTTCTCTAAATCTGGATGCATACGACTCAACAACTGAGAAAGAGACGCATCTACCTAGAGGAAAAAGGAACTACTACATGTGGTTAATAACACATACCCATGTGATTGGGGAAATGTTTACATTACTTGAAACATGAGTGTTAGCTGGAGTTTTATTGTTCTTTTTTTGCCACTTTAAAATAATCCAAAGTAACTCCTTGTCTTTAGTTTTGTTGTCATTATTTTCTTTTTGTGACTTTGCTGTGTCAAATTATACTTAAAATTAGGAAGAGAGAGTGAAGGACAATTGGTCTCCATAAAGTGTGATAACCTGTTAGATCAGCATTGTTCCCTTATCACAAGTATAAGTGTAATAATAAAAAAAATTTTTTTCTCACAGCAATGTTCAAATTTAGATTAAGTTACAAATAGGAAAAGACTTTTAAGTAAGGATTATGGTGTTTCAAAACAGTAATAGATTTTTATTTCCATAGTATCTAT